CAGTTGCGATTGCTCAGACATCTAGTGCGAATGATTCCAGAAATGAAGGAGAAATAACTATTGCACGAACAATCAGACAGATGGAGAAACCCGGGAAGAGCCAAGAATGATCTGGGGCAAGTATCTCGAAGGATTCTGCTGCAAACATGGGCTATCTTCTTCTGAAGATTAAACGGTGGCACAGGGTCAGGAACGTTGGAGACATTCTCTAACGTGTGCCCTCTTAATCCGAGTGGATAAGCGGTCAGCGACTGAGGCTGAGCATAAAGAAAAATTATTTAAAGTAGAATTCTTATGAAGGAGATGAGGGAAAAGAGTACAATCAAACAGAAGAGGTGAAATTTTCTTCCTAGTTCCAAGCGATTGCTTAGATTGCAGCACGAAACGTCTTTTGCTGTTTTTGGAATACATGGTTTGTTCGTATTCCACTTCTGAAATTGACTCAGACGTCACTAGCATGATTGACGAGATAATTGTCCAAGCCGCGGTGCTAGGTCCATCCCAGAGTAAATATTAATTAGACGGTGGTCAAAATCAGGCCATTTGGCAGCTCAGTCACTTTGTGGGGGATGAAAAGAAAACGTGATACAAGTCAAGTGATTTTTTTCACAACCCATTTAATTGAAACTCAAGTAAGTATACAGAGTCTGTTTTATCAGTTAGTCAGTTTGGATGACCACTTGTCCTTTCGAGTCGCAGAGGCAGATGCGGCAGGCAGTTTCTCCAACGTCCCAGTGCAAGCTTTTGAGGTTAGTCTATCCGAAACCACCCCATTCCTCGTGGATGTTATATTGAACTGTTCCTCGGCACCTCCATGGTCAAGATATTTACCACAGGGATCAAAAAGCTAATGTCCGATTACTGAAGCACTCCGTATGGATAGGTGATTACTACTCCAGTTCCTCTATCTACTAGTGTCATCCCTGTTCTCATTGCAATTTGACATACATGTGTTTGCTACAAAATGCCGTGTTCGCGTGGTTTTAAGCATCTCACACCGGATTTGGCTGATTACAATTGGCCAACATTGAGGAGTTCTTCAAAGAACTCTCTCCATCGCCGAAGTACATCTTGTTTCT